GTCTACATCATCAGCAAGCAGAATTACATCAATATAAGGTGTACTGCCACTGACATACTGAAACTGAAGACAAACAGAATTTGATGTGATATTAATCAATGTGAATTCCTGAAGATCATGAGTACCTTAAAATAAGTAAATATCATAATGTATTAATTGTGTATTACTTACTGATTGTTATAGTGTTGCTTTGAACTGTAACTCCATTTTGATAGTACAAGGTAGCATTAGTATTCAGTGTCTTATTTGATGGAAATTGAACAACAAGTGAAATGTTATTATAAGAACTATTGCTTATGGATACATTTGTTGTTGAATAACAGTTATCCTTAGTACATCCTTTCAATGTAATGTTCATTAGTGGTGGTACATTAGTAAAAGACTGATAAACCTAAAAAGAATACATAGCCATGTTGTTTTAAGCAGGTAATTCCAACACAGTAAACACACCATGGGATATCATTATTAAGTACAATATAGACTATACATTATAATACATGGTACATTCATTACACATTACCTATAATACATTATAATACTATAGTCTGTCTATCATCATTTAACACTACTATTCACTATTACTATAAAGTTATCATAGCTGGCTATCATTAATCCTATCAGGGAACTTACAGATACAATGAAATGAAAAGTCCAATACACATTCCCTCTTTCCTTATCAGTTACATATAACTGTACATCTACTGTATAGAATAATCACTTTAGGCTCTCAATAAGTATAATTACTTACTTGTTGATTGAAATCCAACAGTCATGTTACTAGTAGATCCATTCCCAGCTTTATTAGTAGTTGTAATGTTAAACAGATATTGTTTATTGGTTGGGTTCATTGGACAGTAGGTGTAGTTAGTGATAGAGTCATTAAGGTACTGTTGATCAGTTCCTACACTGATTATATACTGTACTGTTAGTCCTGGTAGTGTGAATGGAGGATACCAACTGATAAACATACAACAAGAGTCTAACTGATATCCTTTTATATTACTGACACTATCAGGTGGGCCTGTATATGAAAAAATTTACATTATCATTGCCATCAGGTAATTGTGTTTTAAATAACTGAATGTGTTATACTGACCTTGTACATATAGGTATGCTGGTTCAGTGGTAGCTCCATTAGGTGCTTTACAGATAACTTCTGTACCATTTGCTTCGCTTGTTGCTGTTAGGTTGAGGACATATCCAAAATTAAATTTGACTTTAACTGATGGATTAGTATGAATCATAAGATTAGTGTTATACCCAGACAAATTAGTTGCACATTCAAATGTCACAGTATCATTGACATATACATATTGTGTCACTGGTACAATAATGAAGGAGATACTGCCTGAAACTATAAATAGTGTAAAAGTGTAAATTTAAAATTGCTTACCATGAGTAATAAGGAAAAAAAGATTTATTATAGAAAGTAATATTTTCTTCATACTAGTAGCTTCTGCTAGCTAAAAAAGTGATCCAACAACTTCACTTGCTCTAGCTTATATAGTTAATACAAACTTC